AATGCTTTTCATTGGATAGGCGCTCTGACGTAATGGGTGACTAAATTGTAATTGGCTGCATTTGGGTGATACTCAGCAACATGTGCTTACGATCAACACGGTATCCAGGTGCAATTCACAAGATGGGTGAACATCTGTGGACACGATAAGTGCGGCCCTGTACAGGGCCGCACTTATCGTGTACATTGAAGTACCATTGTAATCGGTAACATCGATCATAACATGTTGCGTACATTACATAGAACACAACATAGTACATATGTTACATCGGCGGTAATTTTTTCTCGTATTTGCGGCTGTGATTGCAGTGGCTAGTATCAAGTTTATTATCGTCATAGAGTTAATATGAAGTGTTTCTGTCAGATATGGTGATTTCCGAACGCGTATGTAAAGGCGATAACGGAGGAGGGCACCCAGATCTTTCTGTTCGTCCCCGATGGACGCGTTGTTACGAAAGAAGAGCTCAAGGCACTCGGAGCCAAGGACGCTGTACTAACCTTTACAGGCTTTTCCCATTCTTCATCGAATGCTTTCGCTAACATCCATTTTTCTGTGGCACCTTTACGAGGTGGCGCCAACAGAGATAGAAGAGGGGCTATCTAAAGGTTTATCTCGCTAATATCTGTCCGACTACATTTCATAGCAAATCGAAGTGTTAGCTCTACACATTTGATCATCATGCGTCGAGTGCACGACAAAACAAGGATGTTCAAAAGCAAAGGCAGATGCCAGATGTAGAAAGAACACACTTGAATACTCAGAGCCCAAGACCATTTTACAAAACGCTGTTAGCATATCTGCTTGAAGTTTATACAACATAGCTATATTGGATCATGTACGGCTGGAGCTTGAAATTAATTGTGCCTAGCTCCCACAACCTCAAAGAGTATGAAAAATAATCGCGTGTTTACGTAGGCTTGTCGAAGCCTACCCACGCGCTCGCTATTACGATCCAATCAAATACTTATTGCTTTGTTTGAGAGAAAGCATCGTTTCTGTCGTTCCCTGTAGCTGATCGTCCTTCTGCCTTCGCGCGTCGGTCAGAATCAATGCCACCCATACGATTGTAAAATTAAAAGACGCATAAAAACGGCTTGTGTCAATTTCAGCCGTACGCTAAGACTTCTTAAAATAGCTGTCGTGTCGCCTTACGCGAAAGAGTTCACTAGAGCCAGTCACTTGTGGGTCACATCATGCCGGGACTGATCGAAAAGCAAGAATAACATAATTTTACGACTACCTGTTAGCTGGCTGTCGGATTCCATCTGGGCTGTAAAATTGCTGATGATAGGAATCGGATACCCTCACTACATTTGCTCATGATAGATTGGGTTCCTACTGCAGAAATATTGCCTCCGAGGTGTTGCCGCTTTCGACTCGGAGCACCTCAATTATATCTTCACAGAATTGGCGCTCAAACACTACGAACTCCGGCGAGGGTGCTCTGCATGGAAGCTTAAGGCTATATATTCACAAAGGATATCAACATCTGGTACTCTTGTAAGTGAAGTACCAGGATTCCGTAACACTGCTTAGTATTCTACAGACTATTCTATCCTGGCCGAGAGTCATCAACATCAATGCATCGTCACCCGCTTTGACTCACCTTCCGACATTTAGAAGCATAAGCTGCTGAAAAAAATGTCTTATAAGAAGATGTATGGATGATCCTATATTCACACCAGCATCATTTTGAATAAATAAGACAGTTTTATAAATAAGTAACATAGTATCGTGCACCTTGATTCAAGGAAGCTATGGCTCGAAAACTCGTCTCAGCAATCTCACCGAGACTGCATTCGTACGCGTTATTCAGGAGCGGAACGAGAGACTCTAAAGCAACTAATTATCTAGGCTTGCTATTTTTAAGAGTACATATATTCTGGATTTAATGTATTTGAACAAGTGCAGCGGGACTGCCGTAGCTTTTTGCTTAGAGGAAGCTAAGCTATGGTCACCGATCATACGTTCATTCAAAGAACCAGTACAAGTGTAGCGGATCGCATTCCGCATCTTCTGCGCTCTAAAGCTTTACCAAGGCAATCGAACACTTTTGTACAAAAACGAAACTGTATTTGATTGTTTTAGTTGCGACAGAGCCGCCAATATCTAAAACCCTAGGTTTTTCTAATTAATATAGTAATACCTTTTTAATATAGCAAAGCCCAATTAATATAGTAGTATGCATTACTACTGGCAACTAGCCACACCACTGTGTTCTTTCACTAACTGTGTAATACATTTCTATGTACAACTTTCTGACAAGGGGACGTGTGTCCCCGTTACAACAAGACTTAATATACGCGTTATACTATAATACGGTTATCCTTATTGCTTGACGCAAAGTAAACAGACCACGTATACCGCGGACCTCTCCTCATCAGAGTTTTATCACCTTGATGAGTACCGATATTATGGAAATTCTGAATTTTCACAAGCAAACAAAACTGCAACATGATTTCGTACAGTTGTACAAAATTGTTCGTGCGGACGTGTACGGTGCACCATCTTACAGTTCGAACCGTCACAGATTTCTTACACCTTCAGAAAGCTTGCATAAATGACCAGCGAACGCTGATATAAGCATCAACTGTCGCTGCAGAGCGTTTTTTTGTGATATCTGGAGCTCGAGTTTTCTTGTTTGACTTGTTGACTTGAGTTTTAAGCTCCTCAAAATTATAGTCCCAAACCTAAAATATTTCGTGATATTTATATCTGAAAATAAACTTGCGCAGGCTTAACAATATTTTAAAAGTCCCCGTCATATCAGATACATTTTGTACGGCCAAGAAAAGAGTTCTCTCAGGATATAATTAACGAACGCAACGTCCAAGTCGCTATGAGAAGCGTCTCTCGTGCGGCGCAGAAAGCTTTATCGCAAGGTTACTGCGACAACTGTTCCCTCCCACATTATCAACAAATATTCTAATCTTCTTTGATTTTTGATTGACAATGTAGCAGCGCGCGGACTTCGCACCACTGCTGCTGTTGCGAATGCTGTACGTGCTACTTTTCGTGATTCCAATCTAACAAACTGAGTTTTCTTAATATTTCTTTGGTATTCATTTACTGGTAGACCGCAGAGGAGCCTGTAATGGCTCGCGTTTACGGTGGTCTTAAAGACGAGGATCGTATTTTTACTAATGTATACGGTGAAGACACTTGGCGTGTGGACGGTGCACTGCGGCGTGGTGACTGGTACCGCACGAAGGATCTCCTCTGCATGGGTCCTGAATGGATTGTACAGGAAATTAAGGACTCGGGTCTTCGTGGCCGTGGTGGTGCCGGCTTTCCTTCGGGACTTAAATGGTCTTTTATGCCCAAGCAAACAGACGGTCGCCCTTCTTTCTTGGTAGTTAATGCTGACGAGAGTGAACCTGGGACGTGCAAGGATCGCGAAATTATGCGCAAAGACCCGCACAAACTCGTTGAGGGTTGCCTTCTTGCTGGGTTTGCTATGCGTGCCCGTGCCGCTTACATTTACATTCGTGGTGAATTTTTTAATGAAGCGCTGATCTTGCAGGAGGCTATTCACGAGGCTTATGAAAAGGGATTCCTTGGTCGCAATGCTTGTGGATCAGGCTACGACTTTGACGTTTATCTTCATCGTGGCGCTGGAGCATACATTTGTGGTGAAGAGACTGGTTTACTAGAAAGTCTCGAGGGCCGTCAAGGAAAGCCGCGCCTTAAACCGCCTTTTCCGGCCAACACAGGGCTGTATGGATGCCCAACGACTGTAACGAACGTCGAGACTGTAGCGGTTTCTCCAACTATTTTGCGTCGTGGTGGATCGTGGTTTGCTAGTCTTGGACGGAAAAACAATCACGGAACGAAGCTGTTCTGCATTTCTGGTCATGTTAACAATCCGTGCACTGTGGAGGAGGAAATGAGTATTCCTCTTCGTGATTTAATTGATCGTCATTGTGGTGGCGTTCGTGGTGGATGGGACAATCTGCAAGCGTGTATTCCGGGCGGCTCATCTGTGCCTGTCTTAGATGAGGAGCTATGCCAGGATATTATGATGGACTATGATGACCTGAAACAGCGTGGTGGCTCTGGCTTAGGTACGGCTGCTGTTACAATATTTGACAAGAGTGTGGACATGGTGGGCGCTATCCGTCGGTATTCTCACTTTTACACGCACGAGAGTTGCGGTCAATGCACGCCATGCCGTGAAGGTACAGGCTGGATGGAACAGGTTTTGACTCGCATGGAGTCAGGTGATGCCGAACTTGAGGAAATACCTATGCTGGAGGAGATCTCGCGCCAGATTGAGGGCCATACTATTTGCGCGCTGGGTGATGCTGCTGCTTGGCCTGTACAGGGACTCATTCGTAAATTTAAGCATAAGATTGTGGAGCGCATTGAAGATCCGTCAAGCTTTAGACCGGAGGATCATTTCCAGAAAGCTTGGCCTGGTGCACCTCTTCAGAATCATGATTGGGTCGACAAATTCTCTGACGGTTCCACCTACAAGTCTAAGGTCTCTGCTTAGACAGCCAATTATGGATGAGAGAAGGGAGATACATAAGGAAAAGAGTTGAATACATGAATTTCATAAGCTTGCAGACGGCAAGAAGTGACTACGAGTTTTGGAGTTGTTACTTTGAAAGCCATGTTTTATAGCCTGTTATCCTTTTGTAATACTTATGTGTATTTGTTTATTATATTTTACTTAGACTTTCGTGGAGAGCCACTTTGGTTTCTGGCTTTCATCATACTGAATTGTAGGCATAAAGAACTCGATGAACTGTTGGTCTAGCAGACGCATCCGAGGACCAGCAAAACGACAGTATTCGTCAATAATCGAAGTCAATGACCAATTTTCCATTTTACGCATGCATCCAATTACACACCCTGTACGATGCTGTATCACCGACCAACAGATTGTGATGACTGCTGAACAAACACAAGTATGCCTCACTTACCGTTCCTTTTGTGCAGTGGACAAGAATCGGGTGGTTTCTTACATCTGCTCATCAAAACCACATAAGCTCACTTTAGTCCCTGAATTTTTGGATGTAAGATACCAAGAAGATTGCGCAGAGCGTTTGCCATAGCGTCCGGATTAATGCTGATAAATGGTTCCTGAGGTAAATGTATTTACATGTCTCTTAGCTCTATGATAACAATTACGAAGCTTCTCACCAATCGCACCTTGTTGCCATCTATGGGGCACTGATAAACCTTGATATTATTTTCTTGAAAAAATGCGATGTTTTCAGGCTGATGTCCTTGATGACATAGGTACCTAAACGCATCGTACACCGTAAAAGTGACAGATTCTGCATCTAAAACTATAAACAATGACTACACGTACAGCACAGACTTGAGTCCAAGTTGCTGAAGGAATGCATGGTTTTTTCGATTCGGAAAGCCAGACCGATAGACACCAGAGGCCACCATGGAAAAGTTGAGCGGAGGAATGAGAGTCTTCTCGTACGTGGACATGATGCTGACTTCGCTATTTCAGATGAATAAACTTTAATTGGATAAAAGTAAAAACAATAGCACATCTAGTGTACAAAGCATCAAATTGGTTATGACCTATACGGGTTTAGAGGCAGCGATGACGTAGTCGAATCCAAAACATACTTTGCGTCGTTCTGCCTCAAGACCAGATCCAAACACTTCTTTCAGACGCTCGTCCACACGATCGAGAGCTTGTAACATACTATTGGCAAGATCAGCGTCTTGAAATGCTGGCACGTGACGTCTGCCAACTTCGAGTTGACGAGTGATGGATGATCGATCATACACATTAATGAGACGCACACTGTTTCTCACTTCTAGCCCTGACTGTTCCAGCTGACGATGTGACCAGTCAATTGGATATTCGCGGTAACAGCGACGACTTGCAAGCAGGAGACAAGCATCACGAATACGAGCAACGTCTTGAATGAGCTTACTCGCTTTGATGTCTGCATCACTTGAGCCCGCGGGAACTTGAGACTCGCTTAATGGCTGCAGCCCCACCAAGTAGATTCGTCCTCCTGGGACCAGTAATTTCTCTAGCCTAGTGCATATTTGCTCTTGGTAGTACGGAGCAAATCCTTCAATGGCTCCAATCAGGTAATCTAGACACCAAAATTACAAACAATCAGAAGATATTTCAACTACTACATCACTCGCATAGCTATTTCACCTGCAATAATTACATCAAATTTTTTACAGTCGGCAAGAAATGCGGCGTCTTGCCAGTTTCCAGCAAAAACCTTCAATGGAGTGGCATGTAGCGTCTTACTAGGAGCAAATTCGACGGAAAGCTCATTTGCCAGAGTTGTCTCCCCTGTTACAGCAGTTAACTCCTTGATGAATGCGGACACATCGCTCTGGAGCAACCAAGAGAGAGAGTGTCGACCTGTACCAGCATCAAGAACTCGACCCCAAGAAGTGTTGAATTCTACAAGGCGCTCGCGTTCGCGGTCCTCGATCCAGCGAAAAAGCTTGTCCGTTGTGGGCGGCATACAAAAGCGTTTTTCGTAACAATTGCCAATCAAAAAATCAAGTTGCAATTATAGTTTTGAGGCTCTGTATGACTTCGCAGTAAGAAACGTAAATTTTTAACCCAGTGATAAAAATGAAACAAAGGTTCAACAACTAGTCATATTTGAAGTAAAGCAAAACTCGGAGAGTAGCTCTTCTGGCATAGGTGTAGCTCTCGTGAGTGATGAATCCACTTTCACTATGCGCCAAAAGAAGCGCTCAAGCGCTCGGCAGTCGTATACTGCTGGAAAGGAGCCACACTTTATTGGTATTCTCATGGGAAGATTGTCACTTGGTGAAATGTATCACTCGTAGCATTGGCGTTGAGGAACAGCTATGCTGGAGCGAATTGTCTACGCTCACCTTTTTGTTACATATGTACTTTGAGGAAGTGTTGACTTTATAATTTTAAGCCCTGAATTAACTGACGCTCTCTAGGTGAGGTAAGCACTTACCAATTCCTGAAGATATGTGGAGCCACAGAAATCTCTGATATGCGAATGGGCGTCTGGTAGCAATGTGCGGCACACCAATAACGGCAGCTATAAAAACATGCGGAGCATTAAGTACGCCACGTGAGTCTCGCGATATACTTAAACAATATGAATGCTCGTTTGTTGTGAGCTGCATCTTACTGCTTATTCTTAGCTCATTGCGCTGGTGCTCTGATTGAAGCAAGGCCGAGTCTATCGTCATCTCATCATTTTGCAAACAAAGGAGGAGATTTAGGAATCTTTATATTTATGGGTCTTTACGCTTAACCAAAGCGATCTTGGACCAAAGAGCTTTATATGGGTCGGTGATATGTGTACCGTGATCTATTTCGACTGTTCAGGGACATCTCATCAACGCATTATCTAGCTGGTGAAATTCCCAATCAATTAATACCCGTGTTCGGAAGTTGCGCTTCCGTTTGTGGTTACCCCTCGGGTCCGACTGACCAATGTTTTTGTTGAGCGGGGATAAGATTGACGATGATTTCAGTTTATAGTCAGAGTATGCAGTCTTCACAGGACTCAGCTGTCGTATCGACGAGAGGAGCAGTGCCTTCACTGTTTGGAGCCATTCAAAATAGCAGGAGCGTCGACTTTCGTTTGAGCCAATTGGAGGGTTATTCGACAGAAATAGGAATAGGATATTGCTGCTCTTGTACGACGACGAATTGCATAAATTCGGAACTACATCTAGTTCAAACTAACACAACATACAAATATTTTACTGTTCCCGTTCATAGAGCTATGTGTATTGCTTAGACATTTTGTGTCGAACACATAATTTGTGTGTCTGATTTTAACTGTACATCCCGTATAGATGTATATCCCCTTCATTTCTTTTGTATCAGAACTTGGAAGTACTTATCAGGTTAGGGAGGTGAACGCCTAATGGCTATAACTATAAATGCCACGTCACCTTTTTTCCTCTCTACGTAAGTCGACGTCCTGCTGGAAGCGAGCAACACGTGTCGGTTGATCATTCCCGATACACTTGGTAACACTAGGTAACACTAGCAGTCATTTTAACTCTAATTGGAGCATATCGGAGATCACATGATGTTGGATTAAACTCGTAGCTTCACCCCACACTCCCACTGCAAGTGTATTAGGAGCGAATATTTTCCCTGTTAATTCAAGGATGACCGCCGCTTGTGGTGTCCACTTCATCCATTGATAAATTCATCGAAGTAGTCGGCAGCTGTCCCGGATAATACCAAATACTAAGCTCAGTCAAGCATCGTCATGGGTACATTTGCCCTCGAGAGCCCCAAAAACGCTGAGTATCCAGGGATGACCAGATATCCTCATGGATCCCTCGGGACATTCTTTCCTTCATCAAGAAATACTGCCGTGAAGTTACAAGAAGCCCGCCACAGGTGCTTACCTCCTTCCGAAGAGCACCCGTCCCTATGCTTGTCTATCAATACTGCGTGAGCCACCAATAGTTATGATAAAAGAACAATGTGATGTCCGAAGCATGTTAGCGCGGAGACTATATGGATTATATGTGAAATAAAGAGCTCACGTTACAAAATTTTTGAGTCAGGTAGGTCAACAGAATATGATGAATTATGGCAAAACTCAAAGCGCTAAATACAATCATGATCTCGGCGCTGAAGCCAATTCCTGAAGAAAAAAGCTGCAAAGCAGCTTAGTATGATGTAATCTGAACACGCCTATTGACGTAACCATGCAGGTAATTGATATTTACTCACTGCAATAATTACTCCGAGCAACTTTGAATATCAATGCAGTTCACGTCAAGGAGCTGCTTGCGATGTAGTACTCTCTTGTCATGTTTAGGGTACGCTTAGTCATTTGTAATTTAGATTTATAATGATCATGCGCCGTTGCGCACAGCGACATCGTAGCTACACTCCTCGCGGAGAACGGCAAAATGGTCCTCCTACCTTTGCGGTAAAATAAATGCCCTATTGGTTTGATGTGGTGGTATGCGCTAGTTATGTGCATTATCTAGACTACGAATTTGTAGCATGCCCTAATGGCAATGTCATGAATTGTGCTGTACGGGTATTGAAAGCAAAAGAAGCATGAAACGTCTCAGCTTAGAAATCGATTTGGCTAAACCGTGTAAGTGAGGGTGCACCTTTATGACTTGTCCGAACTCTTACTACACCAAAGCGCACATCTGCTTGATACATAACATGCGTCTGTACCTAAGATAAGAAACTGGCATGCAGACTTCTGCATTATGTATATATTACTCGTGAAGGAGGACATCAAAGTGGAGATTAGAAAATGGCTCAGTGAGCGCTGTGTGCTTGTAGCCCAAAATATACGGAAAGAATTCTCGACCCCGTGCTTTGGCATCCTGATACAAATTTCTGTAGGGCCACATTTAAGTTATTGTAGACGTCTTGTCACGGGGTTCCACGTATTCTTGTAGGAAAGGGGGGGACACACAAGATGGTTTGACCGTACAAAAGTGTGGATACACAAGTCGGTGTAATCACATCTTTGTGGCTATATCCTAACAAGAAGCCACTACGTGGCAGGACTGCCAGTAGGTATGCAAATTAATTAGGTTTCCTATTTAGGAAAGGCTAAGGTTCTATATATAGGCGGCTCTGCCGCGAATAAACAATTAAAAAAAATATTGAACGGGAGAGCGTCTTTGCCAAGGTTAAGGTTTTAAGTACTCTTGAAGGCAGCGGATTGCGATCCGCCTTACACGTATTTATTATTGTATAGAACGTATGGTCGGAGACCTTAGCTTACCTTCCTCTAAGCAAAGAGCTACGGCAGCCTTGGTATATTTGGTAGCACTCATAGTAAATCTATGCCTGGCATCTGCCTCACTTTAAAACGAGCAACAGCGCGTGGTGCTAGCTATCTCCAAGCTCGGGGGGCGAGAGTGAGAATGGGCACTAACGTGCGGTGCTTCATTTAAAGCTGCGCTCCCCTTCTGGAAGGAGCTAAAGCGTCAGCCTTTGCGAGTGTTCTCGCCGCCTAACCAGGCATTTCGCGTGCGATCGCGCTTCCTTGCCATCCGACAGGGCAAGAAGGAATAAGTGGACTCTGTCCAAGAGTTGAGAAATCTCATTGGCGGGATGGCAGCAGATCCTTTCCTCAAGATGGTCGCAGTGACCGTCTTTATAGTGGACCTCCGCATTTGCGTGACCAGAAAAAAAGTCTTCCGTGTGCGTCCGTCTTCTTTTTAAAAAGCGGTGACTGTGGCATTGAACACCGAATTCAACTTTAAGTCGGCACGACTTGGTTGGAACGAATACCTTCAAAGCTCGTCGAGCAGTCCTGAGCCAATGGATCTCAGTTATGCTGAGAAGAAGGAGGGATAGCTCCGAGCAGCTGAGGAGCGTTCGAACACCTGACGGTGTTTTTATTTGCGGAGACACCAGTCACCTTCGGACGGGTTGTCCCCTGCGCATGGAGCGTGAATGTTCATCAAATCAAAGTCCCGCTTCTAACCAGTCTGGTTTGTTGCGGGGAAACGAGAAAACCCAGTCGGCGCGAGGCGCCCTACTGGGGGAGACCTTACTGCTGAGCCTCAAAGCGGTAGAGAACGGCACGTCTTAGCTCCGAAGAACTGCAGGCTCTTGAAAACGGGACGTGTGTGCAAGTCGGGCTTGCTTGTCGTAAAAGCGACCGTGAAGGGCCTTGAGAATTCATGGAAAATCCTTATCGCTTCTGGTGCGTTGGGCAATTATGCTCGACGCTCTACGATCGAAGGAAGTCAGCTGTATGGTGGGGCGCTAGAAGCGTGGTTGAGTGACACCGTCACTATGCCAAGGGTCCTTGTGGACCTCGATGTCAAGTTTCTTGACTTTGATAGCGTGGAACGCTACTTGGTCTTAGACACGGATGCTAGGTATGACCTTATCTTGGTATGGCATGGTTGGAACACCTTTCTGAGCCACGGACTGATTGGAGGTTGAAGACTCGGGCACTACGCGCATGTCTCCTGCTGGAGCTTTGGTGTGTCATGAATCCACCTTTGTGAGGAAGCAGAAGTGCTATTGTCGCGAGCACTGGACCGGGACGTTCAATGTGCTGGATATCGGAGCATCCGAGTTGTCAAAAACCAAAGATGTATTGGACAAGAGTACTGAGCATGGCTCGCGGGCTAAACGAGGAGTTGCACGTAATACACTGAGCACTACCAAGTATCAAAGCAGTTGCTGCATGCCAAGAGTTGAATGGTCGACGAAGGGCCGAGGCATCAAGAACGAGGCCCCCATGATGTACGTGGAGTTGCACATAATTTGTTGAGCACTGCTCATGCTACAAAGCAGTTCCTGCATGTCAAAGGTGGCACGGTCGGACGAGGTGAGCGGCATTGAGGGCAAGGCCCAAGTGATGCGCGCGGAGTGGCACATTATCCACTTCCAAAATTGCAGCTCTTCGTCGGAAGTTGTTACTAACATCAAGGCACCAGAATGGGGATATTGGACGACGCTGAGTGCGTGCTACCACCGGTCTCGACGAGACGTAAAATCTCTATAGAGAGG